GACCTCATCAGTATACACAGTAAGAGAAACCAGGTGAAGAGTTGATGTTCTCAATTTAGATATAGAAACATTTACGAGAAAACCATCCAAACTGATGCCCGTCGTTTGAGTTCATATTAGGTCTACAAGGACATCTTGGTGAGACTAGCAGAAGTCTAGACGAGTTCGTCTTTGAAGTTGTAATATGATCGTTTTACTGAATTTCGAACTAATCTTTAGGTATTTACTAAAGAATCAAGCAATGAGTTTCAATCTGAAATTTTACTCATAGTTTGATCTAATTACCTGTAAAGTACTCTGATAGTTTTAGCTCAAAAGAATGCTCTATTGTCGAGATATCGAATTTTCAAGTAAATTCGATTTTTGAATCATGCCTGTGGTAAACGAACATTTTTTTGAAATTCGGCATCTCTACAAAAAAACATTGTTTAAGTTCAGTTTGAGCTCAAACAACGGGTCACAGTTTGGATAGTTTCTTCATCAAAGAAAAGTATGTTGTATAAATCTCATATGGGAAAAACTATTATAACTTTCTTAGAATAACCATTTCTTTCCTCGTAGATAAAATCTGCTAATAAAAATAAAACTTTGAATCATCTTTAAACAGCAACATGCATTTATCGAAAGTATTAAGATGAAAAGGCTTATTTTGACGTCTCTCTTTAAAGAAATAAAATGAAAAAATAACAGTAGTCGAATATCTAATAGTGTCCTACAATCGGGTCGGACACTCGACCCGGAGCATAGACTAGAGTGCAAATCCGTCAGGTCAGTTCGGATTCCGAGTCTGATTTCCTACACGGATTCGGTTCAGCAATCATTGAAAACTCTACGATTCAAATTTTTTTTACTTTTTCAAACTGCTAATTAGAAAATCATACGAATGAAAACCAGTTCGATTATGATTGAACAATTTATTGTACTTGACAACAGATTACAGGAATGGAAAGCGATGTTGTTTTACTACAAGAATTCATTTTTAATGAAATCTTCATCTACAGATGACAATGAACCATATAATGAAGTAAATGAATACATAGAAAGAAAAATGAATTGTTAAAAAGGACGAATATATACTATTGTGATGGAAAAAGCATTCACGTATGCATTCGCAATTATGACATTTGACATCAACATTGCGTTTCATTCCAGCATCATAAGCAACAAGCGAATGTGCACTTAGCAAAATAGATTAGATTTCAGATGATCACTTTGTTTTTCTTGCTGTCTATGGAAGAAATTAAACGGTATACTCGATTATATAAAATAAAAGTTTGAAAACCGTAGTATGAATGTGAAAGTATCTGTCAAATTTAGATTCACTTCAGTTCAGATTTGATCCAGCACTGGGTACAACTGTCCATGTTCGATTTCAACAAGTTATATCCGTGCAGGACACTAATATCTATATAATATTCACTCAGATAAGATTATTGTTTCAATTCAATAGTCACGTTGTACTGAAGTAATTTTAATCGATAAAAATTGTTTTGAATTTATTCGTATTTTTATAGAATAATCAATATGTGTAATATGAAATAGTTGTTATTGATTGAAATACATACTTAATAGTTCGATTATTTAATTGTGTAATAAGATCAATGCTTGGATTTTGTTCAAATGTAATTTCATCAGTCTAACAAAGAAAAAGTAAAGAAAAAATTTTCTTTTTATAATTGAATTTCTTATTACCCAAACATTTTGAAGAACAGATAAATAATTTCTTTCCATCTGTATGAAATTCATTCCAATTTGTTGAAAATTATTTATATTTGTTGTTGTTTGAAGAAGATTTTGTGGTGACGACTAAAAAATTAATACAAAAAGTTTTGAAAAAAATTTTTAAAATCATTTCGTTACAAGTTGTAATAATTGTTCAATTTGTCGACGTGTTTCACGAATTTTTTCTTTTGCTTTTGGACCTTTCATTAATAAAGTTTTATATTGTTGTTGTTTCCAATTTAATTGACATTTTAATGCTTGTGTTTGAGCTTTAATACATGAATATTGTTCAGTTAAATTTCGTTGATAATTCGTCCATGGAATAACCATTTTTCTATTTTTTAAACAAAAGAGAAAACGATATATTTATTGAAACAAAAAAAAAACAATTTTTTTCAGTTTACCCATTATCAAGTGAAATAAGAATATCGAGAAGTTTCTGTCGTTCATCATTATTTTCGATTACATCATTACTTATTGAAGCGTATCTATGGAAGTAAAAACAAAACACATAGACAAATTTGTTTGTTTTTCTTCCTCGATCAAACCTAGTTAATTCATCTTCAGTTAAAAAATTTTCATTCGATAAATTCTTAACAATCCAAGTAAGAAATGGTTCAAGACCTGGTTGATAAACAAACCAATCGAAATTGTATGGTTCATATTGATTTATGCCTGGATAATGAATTTGTTTCAATAGATTATGAAATGCAATACCAAAATTTGACATTACGATTCTATTATCTTTATCTGAAATATATCATCTTTTGAAATCATAGAACAAATTGACTGAATACGTCCATTGAAAATTTTTCTATTGTTTAAATGTGCGCGTTTCCCAAATCATGGAACATTATCTTTTCTTTTTGAATAAGTAATTTTCTTTAAACTAATTTTCTTATTTATTATTATTCAAAAATTCTTTTAGCTGTTATTTTATATCGTAATGTGGATGTCGCTACTATCATTAAGTAATGTATTGGATATTTTTTTTTATATCAATCGATAGGTATATATTTTTATCGTTCTTCAATGCGACACTTTTTTCACATATTAATTTTTTGCTTATATGTAATTAGTAATACCTGCGCCTGCGCTTTCTCACGATCATGTTTTTTTTCACATACTGTACCGTTGAAAATCACTGCCGCATTTTTGTTTTTGTTCTACGAACTGTAATGATACTTTTTAAATGACTGAATGTCAGTAATATTGTACGTATATTTTTCACATGAATAACTAATATTTTTGGTCATGATGATATAGAGGGTTAAATCATCTACACGTAAGATTTGGAACAGTTAATCTGTTAGAAGTCTTTATACTTTGACAAGAAGAAAACAAATATAAACATTAAAACATTTCATTTCCACCGTCATAACACTTTAGTAAGATACGAAAAACTATTTTTTTTGCTCGATGATTGTTTCTTGTTTTTTTTGTTTGGTATAGTATGTAAAGAGGGCCTTATTATGCTGACAGAACGAACGATATCCCTCGGAATGTAATGATCAAAGAGGTAATAGAAGAGGGTTTTTTTAGGAAAAAGTAAGTAAATATATGACTGTACTAATATCAATTACTAATGAAGTTGAAACTTAGCTGAAAAAAAGGTCTTATAGTAGGTATAACAATAATTCTTTTGTAAAAGAAATAAAATTTATTTTCTTTTTTTTAAGATACGATTAATCTACTTTGTAATGATTCACATCAATATGATCTTATGTCAAAATAAGATCGATATGAATGTATATTATTGTAAATAACCTTGATGAACTAATCTATTCCACTTATCGTCGGAATATAAAAATGACTATTTAATCAATATTGGTTAGTATTGATATATCATTTATTTGATTTTCATGAATAAAAATATTGCTTTCCTTATGTAAATAATAACAAGTCTATAAGCATTGTGAATTATTTACTGAAACATGATTCAAATCGTATACAGGGTGACCCAAAAGTAAAGGAATACAGAGCTTTTTCGATTTTTTCTTTCTACATGAATAGTTAGACTTCATATTTACACCACATATACTAGATGGTATTAGTAAAAGATGTTACATATCTTCAATCTTTAAATACGGTGATTTGTTTAAAAACGTACAAAGAAATCTTACTGCTTATCTGTGACTGTTAGAGAAATTCGATATTTTTCGATTTTCATAGGTTTGTTTACTTATTCGATTTATTCACATTGTCTATTGATTTAGCCTACAAGAGGTCAAATTTAATTAAATGAAATTCATTTCACAGATTGGAATGATCAGACAAAATTGTGGAAAACGAAAAACATCGAATTTTTCATACAGTCACAGACAAACAAGCTATTGGATAAATTATTGCATTCAAAAGCGAATCATTTGCTATATTGTGACTAGTGTCATTTAGTATAAGTAGTATAAATATAAGATCGGGCTAACTATGTACAAAGAAGAAATCAAAAAATACTGTGTTCTCTTCTTTTTGGGCCATACTGTATTTTGTTTTTATTAGATTAATGGATTTTATATGGAATATTAAATCTGTGAGTTGTTGCATTATTGACCTTTTTTTAACGAGATTTGGTTGGTTACTAAGCAAATCAGATATGTATTACGTGAGAAATTTAATCCTTTTTATTATGATTGTGATGTTTTGTTTGATCGAAAACTTCGATATTATACAGCAAGTCGAATAAATATGTTGAAATTGTTTCTTTTTTTTTTTAAATAACAGTCATTCATCAATTAATCATTTCATATTGATTAAAGATTTATATCTTGAAAATAAATAGAATTTATTATCAGTTATGATAACAAGAGTTGAATACATGACCTCCATGTGACACAATTGATAAAGAAAGTATTCACAATATAGTTTATTATATTGCTCTGTAATCTAAATTTGTTTTAATAGAATTGTTAGTATTCTTTATCATGTTTATTGGTATTAGATGACTAATTATTTTACTAAAATATTCTTTCTACAGTTGATATTTTAATAGAATAATTTAATATATTGATATCGTACCTATTGATGTATTTATAAAATTCTCTTTTACTACCATTTATCTTGATTAATTGAATACATTTCAGTTAGACATAAATTAACATTGACTAATTTCAGTTCATCTCTAATTTCAATATCAATAATTGCAAGAGATTTAAATTGAATGTTGTTTTTCGTAAATCATTACTTCAAAGTAAACGAATATAATTAATTTCTATTATATTTCATTCTAGAATTCCATATTAATCATAATATTTATATATATATCTATTTCTGATTTCTAGATGTTGATAAATGTACTCGAAGGAAAAATTTTTCGATTATTCTTTATTTTTCTTTTATTGGTATACATTTTAAAAATAAATGCTTCTAAAGAAACAGTTGAGGATGATGAAGAAGAAATCTTTGATATTGGCGTTCGTTTAACAGGTAATCACCATGATTATCTTATAGCTGATCTTATTGCTGAAGAAAAGGATATTCTTAATGCTGGACTTGTAAGTCAATGAAAACGATTATAAAGAAAAATTTTTGTTTTTCTTTATGTTTTATAGATTGAAGGTGTTGATTTATATCATTTTCATATTCGAAGAAAGCGTAATCATCGATCTAAACGTTCAATTGATGAAACAATTGAAGATTTAAAACGAGATGAACGAGTAAACTTATATATTAATATTATAATAGATATTTATACCAATTTAATATTCATATTAGATCGCATTTATAACAGTTGGTGAATCATTAGAAAGACAAAAACGTGAATTTTTAGATGAGGATGACTTGATAGACCGCTTAAGAAAACATCAACAATCAAGTGATTTTAACAATATAGGAAATTTGAAATTAGAGATGTCCTTTGATGATGTATTATATAGTAAACAATGGTATTTGGTAAGTCATTATTATAGCAATAGTAACTAATAAGAATGATCTATTTAGGAAAATAAAGGTCAACTAGGTACACCAGCTGATCATGATATTAATGTTACACCAGCTTGGCTTGCTGGATATTCTGGTAAAGATGTAACAGTTTGTATTGTAGATGATGGTCTCGATCATCCACATCCAGAATTAACTGATCACTATGTAAGTTTCTGTTTGAAATTATTTTTTATTCGTAAGTAAAAAGGGACAAAATAAGGGACGGCTTTTGCTACGTTTTATAATATGATAGAAAACAAAAGCGAAACATCAAAGAATGAATTGAGTATTTATTTATTTTTCTGTACGAGTAGCAACCTCAGCTCAGTTATGATTTAAATGATCTTAACGACAGTAAACATGATCCACTTCCACGAACATATGATAGTCAGAATAAGTAAGAAAAATATGCTAAAACCTGAACATGAATTTTAATGAATTATTCTAACTATTCTGACATATTTACCAATGCTCTTATCATGCGCTTCATTTGCTTGAGCTCTTTTTGTTATTTGTTGTATATATACATGATGATGTTTTTGTTTTTTATTTTAGTCATGGTACTCGATGTGCTGGAGCAGCATCTGCTAAAGCAAATAATGAAATGTGTGGAGTTGGTGTTGCTTATAATTCAAATGTTGCTGGTTGAAAGAAATAAAAAACACATATCTTCTAAGAAACAATGTAAAGTTTTTATATTTATATTTAGGCATTCGAGTTCTTGATGGACGTGTTACAACATTACTTGAAGCTCGTGCTTTATTATTATTTGCTGTTGATACACATATTAAAAGTGCATCATGGGGGTAAACATTGCAAAATATAATTATTAATAAATTAGTTAAATTTATTTAGCCCAACTGATGATGGAACGAAAATGGAAGCACCTGGTTCGTTAGTTAGAGCAGCTTTGGATTATAGTGTTCAACAAGTAAGTGTTTTTCTTTTTCGAAAATTTACATTAATTATTGTTTCAATTTAAGGGACGTCATGGTAAAGGTATGATATTTGTTTGGGCATCGGGTAATGGAGGTGGAGCTGGTGACGATTGTGGTGCCGATGGTTATGTATCACATCATAATGTTATATCAATTGGCTCAATTAATCATTTGGGTAAATCAACACAGTTCAGTGAATTTTGTCCTTCAACAATGGCTGTTGCTTATACTGGTGGTCAACATTCAAAATCATCGAGTGAACAACAACTATCGATAGGTGTAGTTGCGGCTGATGTTGGTGGAAAATGCACAACAAGTTTTTTTGGTACATCCGGTGCTGCACCAGTTGCAGCTGGTGCATTTGCATTAGTATTTGAAGCTAATTCTGAATTAACTTATCGTGATTTAATGCATATTATTGCTCGAACAGCTCGAATACCAAATTTATCTGAAACTGATGATTGGATTATAAATGGAGCTGGTTATCATGTTAATGATAAATTTGGTTTTGGTGTATTAGATGTTGGACAAATGATATCTTTAGCACAAAATTGGACTAATGTACAACCAAGATATGAATGTTATCATGAATATGAAGGTGGTCCTAAGTAAGAATAAAAAAATAATTGATATTCAAGTTTTTATTTTATTCTATTTTACTTTTTCAGGCAACTAGATATAGGTGCAATTGTTGAAGTATCAATTTATGTTACAGAATGTGAAAATGTATCAAATATTGAACATGTCGTAGCTAATGTTTCATATAGTTTTCATCGTCGTGGAGACGTTAAAATTATACTTATATCACCAAGTCAAACACCATCAGAATTGCTTTCATATCGTGATAAAGATGCTACGAATAAAGGTATATATTAAATTACAAATATATATTAAATTCATCTTTTGTTTTTCTATTTCAGGTATAAAATATTTTCCATTTATGTCAGTTCATCATTGGGATGAATCTCCAATTGGTCGTTGGACATTACGTATCGAAACTCGTAAACCAAAAAATGAGGAATCAATGAAATCAGCTTTCGAGTATGGAGATACAGCTGAATTAAGTTATTTTGGTTTACGTATTTATGGTTCAAAAAATCTTGATGAGAAAAATAATGATAAATCAATAAAACGAGATCATAAATCTGCTTTTGTTCCAACATATAATCAAATTGAATCAATTTATAAACGTGAATTAGTAGCACGTGAATCACCAAAGATTATGCAAAAACGAGATTATCAAAATTTAATTAAACAACGACAACTTCGAAAACAAAATGAAAATCAAGTTCGACAAGATCAATCATATTTTGGATTATTTCGTCGAATGTTTGGTTTTTAAAATTTAATGTGATGTGCTTTTATTACCTTAGTCTTTCTTATGCATATGTCAAATGAATATCTACTATTGAAGAACTTTTTTTTGTTTCATCTTTGATCATGAATCAAATCACTGTCGTAAAACATCTCATTATTTTTTTGTCTCATTTAACTTATGCATATTTCTTATTAATTTAATAGTTTATTTCATTCTTAATATTGAATAAAATAAATATGCTAATCGGTTCAGCAGAATCTCTTTTATTATTGACTAATAAAAAATGGATCTTTTCGAAATACTATTAAATAGTCAGTGTGCTATTGGACAGATCATCCGAGACTAGCAGCGATTAGTGACTTCTCCAAGATGATTCCATGATTGTTGATACCATGATTAAGAATAATGGAAAGAAAACTTGCGATGGAGAAAATTAATAAAGGATGAGAGTATGACTAAAGAGTTAATGTGTAAAGATTATGTGAGTTACTGAAAATTTGCATTTGAAAAACATGGTATTGTATTATATCATTTCAATCAGAGATGTCGGCTATTGAGTAAAAATTTTTATCAAAATATTATATTGAATGAAAAATCGATGCAATCATTTTCAGTCTTGACTTCGATTTCTAGTGTTAGAATGACTTCATCATTCTCTAATTTGTCGTATTTACCAATACATAAAAATATGTGTTGGACGAGTAAACTCAATCATCAGTTCTTAACGACAATCAAAAAAAAAAACCTACATTCTTTTTGTATATTGACAAAAATGAGATTGATCAAAAAGATTTACTTCTCTAATCCTTTGCAGGCTTAAACTCCTAGTTTCGAAGCACATTTGAGTTTCATTGTTTGTTTTTCTCCATAGAAGAAAACCTGCACAAATCCCTGAAAACTTGATTGTATAATATTGCAATGATTACTCTCTCACAATATGAAATAACGACTGAATTAAATATTCCGTTAAAATCATGTTATCCAATACGAAACATTTACAATGAAATATCTAATTAAATAATATCCAAAACTTCTGAGATTGTTATTTAATGATTTCTTATTGCGATTTTTTTTTCATTTTTCTATTTAAGAAGAGAAAAAAATATTGAAGTATGAGTTCGTTAATATACTGTAATTAATATTGTTTATCTTGTATTTTCATATGATGATACTTGTCTATCATCAACAGATGATGATATTTCTACTTGACTTAATTTTGGTTTATATGGATTCATTTCCATCAATTTATCTGCTAACCATAACTTTTATAAACAGAAAAATAATAAATAATAATTTTAATAATTAAATAAAACTCACTATGGGATCTTGAGGTTTTTCTTTACATAAAGCTGTTAATGCTTTTATTAGCGTCTTATTAACATTTTGTTCAAGATAATCTTTTGCCGGTTGTCCAACTGGAATTGGTTCAACAATACCTTAGCATATGAATAACTGACTATAATTCATAGTCTCCTTTTTTTTTGCATCTTTTACTTACAATTCGGAAAGAAAAATCGAATTTCACGTTCAGCACTTACTGCACTATCACTACCATGTACTGCATTCTTTTGTTCATTAGTTCCAAACAACGCTCGAATACTATACCAAACAAAACAAAAAAAATTATTTTAATGAAAAAAAAAAAACAAGTTAACCTATCAGGATGTGTTTCTTTTGCAACAATTGAATTTGTTGGTCCAATTAATTGTCTCCATTGTTGAATTCCATTTTCTTTTACTAAAACCATAGCAACTATTGGACCACTTGTCATAAATGCTACTAAACTTGGAAAAAATTTTTTCCCATAATGTTCACTATAAAAATCGGAACATTGTTCAGCTGTTAATGTTATACGTCGTTTCTAAATCAAAACACACTAAAGTTAAGTAAAACTAACGAGTGGCACAAAATAAATGGTTGTGTTAGTATTTTTTTTCTAATATCTCATTCAGTTCTGATCATTTTATCGAAACTATATATTCCTACCAACTAACGCATGTTCCATACTTTTAGGAATACTCAATAGAAAATATTAGTTCAATAGGTTCAATTTTCGAACTTAACATTATTGCAGAATATTGCTATCATGAGTTTTAATTCTCAAAGTAATGCTTTTTTTTTCCAATTTAAGTTGCTAAAATTTGCTAATTAAAAATTTTCATTTCAAAAGTAATAATCTAACTAAAAGCTGCGTTGATTATTCGAAAGTCGATGAATGCTATCAAAAAAAAAATAGCTGAAGCTGTCTTGACACTAGTCAACAATTAAATGACGTATATCAACTCATACCATCACTTTTAAACATATTAAAATCTTCAATCACTGACAAGCACATTATTCTTATTGCTAAGGGTAGTAGAAATACTATTTTTATATAATTAAGATGTAGGTAAGATAGTTCTTAGGATTGACTAAAATTACACCAACTAGTGTGAGGCCACTAATAAATGTGGAATTCATGAATAATGTACAGACAGTTTCACCATCGGACTTCGAATAATCAACGCAAATATAAATTAAATTATTACAATTTCAATAAAAATTTTTAATTAGCAAATTGGAACAATTTAACATAGAATAAAAGCATTACTTTGAGAACCAAAAAATGTAATAATAATATTTCACAAAAAGACTAACAAGCAAATCTCTCCAGGTATCGAATCGTTTGTTGACCGAAATAATGTTCATTTGATGTGTACTAGTGAATAATAGAAAATCTATAATGATTTTGTTTCCTGGACTTTCGTTCTTGAGATATCAAAATTTTACTGGATTATTCAACAAAAATCTATGGTCTCCTCAGATGACATCAAAGATCGACTTTCGACTTCAAATTTTGCATGAACAAAATTCTCAATGAGATTAATTGACTGTGGAAGTTTTAGCTTTTCCAGTATTTCATTACTAGAGATGTAAATACATGAACAAAATTTGATTTTACATATGAAAGAATTTTAAATATTAAATATTTTAGGATAGGAGATACTAGAAAAGTCACAACTTGTCCGATGGAGTAATTAGACTGAGAATATTGTTCATACAAAGTTTGAAGTCGAACGCCAATTTTCCATATGACCTGAGATGTGTGGAAAATCGAGTTAAATTTCGATATCTCAAGAATAAAGGCTTGAAATACTGAATCATTCTAGATTTTTCTATTACTCATTAAATAAGCATTATCTTGGTTGAAAAGCAATTTAACACCTGAAGAACTTTTCTAGTCAGTCTGACAGTTGAATATATGAAACTAATCTTTTCTATTAAGTATTCAAATACTATGAGCTATGCTTTGATTGATAGAAATAAATAGTTTTGCAATCAATTAAAAGTATAATCTTTCGATAAAATAGTAAGAAGTGATTGACACATTAGAAAACTACAGATGCTACCATTTATTCTGCATCATATGTTAATTCATTTTAATTTTGTTTAAATAACTAACTTGTAGAACAGCAAAACCATGATTCAGAAGAATTGTTTCAATTTCATCAGCTTTATTAACAGCATCTGGTTTAATTAAAGCGAGTGTACGTTCAACAAATATTCCATGTTTATTGGAATTCATTCTTGAACTCTGATCACTTCTTAACGTATCTTCGACACCACTTTGTCGTTGTCGATTTGTTTGATCATTGTCACTATCGAAACTTTTACTTGCATATAATTCCATTAGAATAATTGAGATCAAGGTTAACAAACACTTTTCTCTTTTTTTTCTTCTTCTTTCAAAGCCTAGAGAATAACAATACCCAGAAAAAAAACCTTTCTATCTTCATGAAATTCGTTGTCATAGTCGAACCTCTAAATGAAACTTTGACCTTTGATAGATGTCATTGTGAAATTTGATATGATTGGCTGAATATAAATACCAACACAAATATTTTTCTCATATTCATTCAGTCATTCATTCTTTTTTACTTATCTCTCTACTCAGTCAAACAATGGCGACTTCAATGGATGACATAAATAAAAATATTGTCATATTAGGTGCAACAGGAAATACTGGGTTACAACTTGTTGAACAAGCATTAGCACGTAATTATAAAGTAACTGCACCTGTACGAAGTCCAGAGAAATTAGCACATCTTGTACATAAAAATCTCGAAGTAAATTATTTCAATTAGTCTGATGAATATTTTTAACATTTTTTTTCGTTGCTTTAGGTAATTAAATGTGATTTAATGAATCCATTGGAATTAACTAAACATTTAGAAGGGCGTGTTGCTGTTTTATCAGCACTTGGTCAACCTGGACTTCAAATGTGGGCAATGACTTTTTATGAAGATTCAATGAAATCAATTGTAACTGCAATGCGTAGTGCAAATGTTAAACGATTAATATGTATAACAGCATTTTATACAAAATGTAAATTTATATTTTTTGAAAATATATATTTTGTTTTTGTATATTTCAATGAATATAATTTAGATCAACCTGAAAAATATCCATTTAAATTTAGACTTATTATTCGTCCAATGATTGGACGTCATCTTGATTCAATGTATATAATGGAACAATTTCTTGAAAATGAATGTCAAGATATTGATTATACTATTGTTCGACCACCACGTTTACTTGATGAACATATTATTGGTTTGTTTAAAACTTTTAATACTTTTGTTTATCGTTAATTAGTTTGTTTTAATAATTTAGAAAAGGAAGTTAAAGTTAATGAAAACGAATATTTTTTTCCTGATCAATCAACAGCTAATCGAATACCAAGAGCTAATGTAGCTCGTTTTATGTTGGATATATTAAAACATGAAAAATATATTCGACAAGCTGTTGCTGTTGATATGTCGAATGGATGAGATCAATCTCATCGGATTGCAGTTTTATAAACATATAAAACATTTTTTGCATTTCAAATTTTAATTACATCTCTTTTATCTCAGTTGATTATTATTTCAATAAAAAATAATTTTCTTTTCTCTTCAGATTATCTATTTTCAAAGAATGGCTACTACTCAACCAACGTATGTAGTTTAATTTCTCATAAATTTAAAAAAAAAAACTTTTGTTTTTTCTTTAGATACGATTATTCAGCGTATGATTATTCATATGATACAAGTTCATCATCAGCTTATTCATCTTATCCAGGTTATGAAACAAGTGCATCTTATGCACCACCTGGAACATATGATGGTTATGCAGCATCGGCAACTTATTCTACAAGTACACTATTTCCATAAGATTAATTGAATTCAAAATCATTTTTTATTGTTTAGGTGCTGCTTCAACTAGTTCGCCTTATACAAGTGTAGATCCATATTCGGGTTATCCAGCAACAGCTTATGGTTATCCAACAACAGCTACTAGTGCCGGTGCTCCACCAGCAGCTGCAAGTCAAACATCATATCCACCATCTTATAGTTCATCACCAACAGCAACTGGTTATACGTATGATTCAAGACGTCTTACACCACCACCAACAACATCAGCAGCAGCTCATTATGTACCTTATGATTATACATCAAGTGCTGCTGGTATAATTAATTCTATTAATTTTATCAAATCGTTTGTTTTTTTTTCTTTTTTCTTTGTAATAGGTGCATATGCTGGTGCACCTCCAACAAGTGCTGCTTATTCTCCTTATAAATCCATATCTGCAACAAATGGTTCATCCTCGGCAAGTGCCTATTCGACATATCCCAGTTCAGCTCCACCACCACATGGAACATATGGTGTTCCGCCTGGTAGTCATCTTTCGGGAGCTATAGGTGTACATCCACCTCCATCTCATGTTTATGGCCCACCTCCATCAGCAGCTGGTATGATACCACGTCGACCAGATTATTATCCAGCAGCTCAAATGCCTCATTCAATGCATTATGTTCCACATCAAGCACAACAAATGCATTATCGGTAAGTGAATTTATCCTCCCGCCCTACAAGAAAAAAATATTAAGTTTGATTTTGTTGAATATTTTGTTTTGTTCTATCGCTCTTTCGTATTGTTTTATTTTTCTAAGTTTTTTTTTCTTTCATGTTTCGACAAAAAAAAATAACAACAATTGAATATGTTGTGTTTTATTATTATGTAATGTGTTTTTGGGATCGGTTATTATTCTATTCTTTGTACTTTTCTAGGATCAATATACAATAGCAAATACATATATATATATAATCTATAGAAACTATATATATACTATTTGCTAATATTGAATATAAAATCTTTTATCTAATTTTAGGTTGATTTAGTACTGCATATTTACAAAAAAAAAAAGAAATAATTGCGTCATATATTTTGTTATATAAACTTTTGTTTTAGTTTTTTGTATACAAAAAAAAAGACAAAGATTTTTGTGTTGGTGTTTTTTTTTTGTTTTCTTTTTTTTCTGTCTTTTGACAAATTAACTTCACGACAAACATTGTTCTATTATCTTCTTGTGTATTCCAGTTTGCCACCTCGAGGGGGCTATCAACGTGAACTTGATGGTAAGTAAAACTCTGTTTTTTTTCTCTCTTTATTTCCGCTCAGCAGTTTCTGTTTTGTGTTTTTTTTTGCTTTCACAAGAGACTGACAGACGACAGAAGAATAAAAGAAAGAGAAAAAAAGATTTATCTGACAAAAGCATTCTTCCTTATTCTATATGTGTGCGTATGTGTGATTTGAAAAGATCAACTGATGTTTATCGTTCTTTCTTTCAAGTGTTGAGAAATTTTGTCTATTTATGATATTTGTTTTAGTTTGGTTATATTACTCCGTTAGCGTTATTGTTTATTTCATTTCATTTTCTTTTTTCTAACATCGTTGTATTAATTATTCGATTTGAATTTGATAATATTTGTTTTATTAAATATTTCTATAGAACCTGGTGATGAAAGTGCACTTCTTCGACATGTTGTCTATATAACTGGTTTACCAAAAGAAATTCAAAATGAAACATTAGCTGAAGTATTTGGTGCTGCATGTGGACAAATTGCACCGGTAAGAAGGTTTTCTTTTTCTTACGAGCAAAAGGTCTCTAAGTCTTCAAGCTGCGGCTATATTCAATAGATAGGGCTTGATGAATAAGTATATACCATACCGTGCTTTGAACTGCTGGGCTTTTGTTGCTTAGATTCTGAATGCTCAGTGAAGCTTCTAATAATGAGAAGGACCAATTATTTTTGATCCCAATCCCGGTTTAGCGCCTATTAATAGCGAACAATGCAAAATTATTTTCTAACTGTGTCAATGCATCTGAAACATCATGCATGATCTTTAATATCCTTCCGCTTGACGATTCATCAATTGATCAATTCCTTAATACTTTGTCTATTCTGTACGTTTATGTTTTCTACAACTCTGTTGTTTACAAACAAAAGAATTTTTTTCTTATTATTAGAATTGTAAGAGCAAATATTCAAGTGATCGTTACTGAAAGGTTAACACGCCCAATAAAAATGTTGATCTCGGGACTATCCTTCTTATATCTAGGATTTTTTCTGTAGGGCTTCAGTTTCCCAATGCAATCATAATTTTGATCTGAAATTTCGACTACGTAAAGTAACCAATTAGATTAGCTTGTCGAAAAAATCTCAGAAACTTTTAAAATATCGATGTTTTTATCAATAATGATGGCAAAGCGCCTTTTGTTTTAAAAAGCTCATATCCTGATGAAACTTAGTCAAAAAATTCTGAAATTTTTTCCATCAGCTAGTCTCATCAATGTCTTGATTTAGGTAAAGTGTTAAGTCAAAAGTATAATTTTGCTTGAAAACGAGGACCTGACGGGAAAAAAATTATTAAAAATTCAATATCTCAGCAACCTTGACTCTATCGATTGAATACAGTTTCAGATTTAAAAATGATTTATTACTTGAGAAAATTTCCTTGTTAATTTTTTTCTCATGACATAATTTAGGTCGATGTACGTTCACCAAAACCAAAAATTTGGGTTTATAAAGATCGACAAACACGTGAAGGTAAAGGTGAAGCTACAATTACATTTATCAATCCTGAATCATGTCAAACGGCTATTAATTATTTTAATGGTAATTAATATAGTACTTTCGATTTTTCGATATTTAGTTTTTCTTTTTTTTTTTTTCTAGGAAAAGAATTGTTTGGTCGTGAAATTCGTGTTACATTATGTCCAAGACGTATGTACAATATGCAAAAACAAAATACACCATTCAATCCTGCAGCTCCGCCAATGAATACAACTACAATTATCAAACCAATTAATACAAATAATAATGGTAATATAGCAACAACTGACAGTACAGAAACGACGACAGCAACAAAAACGTCTACCGCTACAAGCACAACATCAACAACAACGCCTATAACGACTCCTGTAATAACAGCTAATCCAATAGCAACAATATCTTCATCGACACATGGTTTATCTCGTCAATTAAATCATTCATTATATAAATTACGACAAACACCAGAACAGCAACGTGGCCTTTTACCTACTCCACCTATTCCTTTGTAAGATATTAAATATTTAATGTAATCTATTTGTGTTATTGATTTTAATTTAATTTAGTGGAGCACCTATCATAGGTAATGCAATTCAACGAGATGGTGTTCGAAAAGAATTACCTCGTATTGCTTTAAATAGGCAAGTATTATTTAAAAAAACAAAAATATATATGTATTTGTTATTTGTTGTTTTCTTTAGAGGTAATTATATTAATCCAACTGGTGTTCGTCCTAAACCTTATTAACATATTTGTTTTCATAATTGTCTGATTTGTTAGCTTGTTGTGCATTTCTTTTCTGTGTATGTGTGTGTGTGTGTTTGTGAACATATATTAAAAAAAACCTAACAAGAAATTATGTATGTGCGAATTTTAAGTTATTTTTAATCGATGAAAAATGTTTGTAGAAGAATATCTTTCTTCATTTTCATTGAATTGTTTAATAGAATAGAAATTCCAAATAATTAGTACAATTATGAACGACAAGAATAATTTTATTTCACTTTGTTTTTGTTTGCAAATCAAAACTTTTTTCTAATACAAGGATAGTGCGGCTTTTTGGCAGTGAACGTGACTAACATAATGTATGAAATATTGATTTTGAAAAAAAGAATAATGTTCAGCACAATGGTTACAATAAAAAACTTTAGGCTCATGTTCAACCCGATTAAAGTTACAGATTTTAACATTTAGGTTTATTTTGAACATTATATTTTATGTCGAGAAGATATTTCGGAATGCAAACTAAAGTTAGTATTTTTTCTACACATATAATATTTGTATTGAAAAGATTATTTAGTTGTTCAATTTACACTTTAATAGCGCATTGATACTTTGCACCGTGATGCTTGCAAAAAAAAAGCAATGGTGTGAAAGAAACGGATTGCACTACTTGATTTGTTATCTTAATAAAAGCAAAAAACAACAATAAAATAACTCTATTATACGCCTATACTTCGTTACGAACAGATGGTCCTTTTTCTCAGCCCATCGTTCCCTTCAGATGAAATAATCTGACTATGTTTAAAATTATTTTTATAATATTATTAGTTTCCTGAGAAAGAAAACCAGTAGGTGTGTGCATCAACTACGATGTTATTTCGCATTGCTCTTTCCTTTCTATGTCTTACTACCTTGGCAATTCATGCAGAGGAGTCTCTTCCGGGTTAGTATATCTTTTTTTTATGTTCGATTAATTCTAAAATACATAAATATAGCTCATGGTACACGAGCATCCGACATTTGTTATGGTGAATATGGATGTTTTACCACGGCAAAGCCATTCGGTAGGAAATAGTTTTTGTTATTATATATTACTAAAATATTGATTTAAAACTAGGTGGAACATTACAACGACCATTCGCCGTTTTACCTGATCGAGTATAATTTTATAATGAATTCTTTCTTATTTTTTATTCCTCGAATATTTTTTTTATTTTTCTCTAGAATGGTGCGATTGGCACTACATTCTATTTATATACCAGAGATACGCGTAGAACACGTACTGAAATCGGTCGTTACACAACTCTTGGTGCATGGGATGTAAGCAAACCAACAAAAGTTTGTATTCATGGCTTTGTTGATAGTATGAATACACCATGGTGGATCGATATGAAAAATGCTATACTTGATGCAGTGCGTATTTAAATCTAATAAAGGTTATTTTCAATATTGATCAATCTACATTTTATGCATTTTAGGAAGATGTTAATGTGATTTTGGTTGATTGGTCGAGAGGTAATGGATTCCCGTATGAGAAGGCAACAGCGAATACTCAAGTGGTCGGTGCTGAAATTGCATTATTTATCAATTATTTGATTGCACAACATGGATCTAGAGCAACAGACTTTCATATCATCGGTCATTCTCTCGGTGCTCAAACAGCAGGCTATGCTGGAGAGCGAATTACTGGATTGGGTCGAATTACTGGTAAATATTTATTAAAAGAAATTTATTTAAAAACTTGTCTCATTTTTATAGGATTGGATCCTGCTGGTCCTTATTTTGAAAATACTGATCCAGTAGTTCGTCTAGATCCTACTGATGCTTTATTTGTTGATGTTATTCACACTGATGGTGCTCATAATCTTCTTCTTGGACTTGGTATTTAGAACATCATTTCATAATTTCTTCATTAAACATTCTATATAAAATATTATATCTTTTCAGGTACTCTTCAACGAATGGGTCATGCTGACTTTTATCCTAATGGTGGTTCTGATCAACCTAGTTGTTCAAAGACACCAGGCAAAATATTAAATCTTATTGTTCAACTCGGAACAATGAATATTGATGGTAAATCATCAAGATTAATATTAATATACATATATATATATATATATATATTATTCTGTAGGCTTTTTGGTAACATCATTATGTAGCCATTTGGCTGCTGTATATTTTTTTACTGATTCAGTTCGTAACCAATGTCCATATGTAGGCTATTCATGTAGTAACTTTGATGATTTTATTGCGGGTAAATGTTCATTGCAATGTGATGGTAAGACTCATCAATGTAATCGTATGGGTTATTGGACTTCACCCACGGGTGGCAAAGGTGATCTGTTTTTGAGAACTCAAGATGCTAACGCTTTTCCATATTGCAGTAAGTCTTATTTTCTTTCTCACACAAACAGATATGAAAAATGAATATATTTTGTTTTTGCTATTTCAGTAAATCATTATCAAATTACTCTTCAATCGGGTTCAGGCTATACACAAACACGTGGCACAGTAACTATTACACTTATTGGTAGTCTTAACACCGTTACAGTTACTTTTGATGAGTATATATAAGAGTTTTTTTTAATGTTGATTGATTTGTCAATTCTAATGGATAATTTAGCGATCAAACAACATTCAAGCGTGGCTCCGTTGAAAATCGTTTCATTCCTTTGACTATTGATATTGGTGAAGTACTAAATGTTGACCTTAATTTTAAGAAAACAGGAAACTTAATATCATCGTCATGGTATTCATCTTCATGGACATTTACTAAAGCGATTGTACTCAATGGTGATAATCAAAATAGGTATAGTTCAAACATATAATCAATTAACAAACATTATTTCATTTTTCTTTTGTAACATAGTCGATCGTTCTGTCCTAGTCAATCAATCATCACATCTGGCTCCAAAGTTCGATTTGCTCCTTGCTAATGTTCTTCTTTTCCTAATATGGTTTTTTTTTTCTCAATAAAAATTTGCTAAATTGGCATCTGGAGATAAGATTTGAGAAATACGTTTTTCTTTTATAAAACCAAAGATATTCAACTAGAATATGTTAACCACGTCGCTGTTTTTTTTTTTTGATTTATGTTTCAACGAGTAAAACAGTGTTATTCACTTACAAATAAGTTGAAACAATGATGAATATAGAAATCGAATTCACAAACAATGATACGCGAGCTAGCTGTAAAATGACAATCACGTGATTATTAATGTGTGAAAACTGAATAATTTAACATAAAAAGAATTTCTCATATAAAACGATGAAGTCATTGTAGAAATTTTGTTCAGTATTATGTCTTTCTGTTTTTTTCTCTCAGTATTAGTGATTTACTAAGAAGAGTAGCATTAAGAAAGGATCATTGTTTCAATGTCATGCTCTGCAATTATTTTGGAAGATATGTTCATAACACGTATCTCATAGATCAATTAGCAAAACTATCCGATAAACAAAAAGCATCTATCTAGAGTTTCTACTGAATTCAATACATTGCTTGGCTGTGCGTCTCAAAATATTTTGATTAATAATATTAAAAAATCGTTTCGATAAGACTTGTTATATTAATTCCCACAATAAAAATTCGTGAAACTTAGTGTTGTATTAGTTTGAGACTACTTCAACATTGTTTTTCAATTGTATTATTAATTTATTTTAATAACCGTAAAATGACATTTTTATTTAAAAGGTAATACAGTTTTTCAATATTTGAGATCAAGTATGTCGAAATTGTGAATATAGCACAAATAAAAAAAAAACATCTATTGAAATGCGTATCTTACTGTTTTTCGTAGATATCAAAAGAACAAACGCAGTACGCTGTTAGTTGCAAACATGGTTACACACAGGTGGTCATTTTTCTCAACTACTCGCCCACTCTTATGAGTAGGAATCACTCACAGTTTTAAGCCCACTACTTTACATCAATTGTTTCATTATTTTCTAAGAAGGAAAGTTAGTAGGTTTGTGCATCGGCTAAGATGTTGTATTGCATTGCTGTTTCTTTTGTATGTCTTACTACCTTAGCAGTTCATGCTGAGGAGTTTCTTCCAGGTTAGTATATCTATTTTTTAAGTTCGATTAATTTCAAAATGCATCAATGTAGTTCATGGTAAACGAGCGTCTGATATTTGTTATGGTGAATATGGATGCTTTACTACGGCAAAACCATTCGGTAAAAATAATTGTTGTTATTATGTATTAATAAAGTATATTGATTTAAAACTAGGTGGTACATTACAACGACCATTCTCCCTTTTGCCTGATCGAGTATGATTTGATGATGAATTTGTTTTTATTTTTATTCGTTACATCTTTTTGTTGTTTTCTCTAGCCTGATGTGATCAGAGCTACATTCTATTTGTATACAAGAGATTCGCGTAAAACTCGTACTGAAATTAGTCGTTACACAAATCTTGGTTCATGGAGTGCAAACAAGCCAACCAAAGTTTGCATTCATGGCTTCGTAGATAGTATGAATACACCATGGTGGATAGATATGAAAAATGCTTTGCTCGACGCGGTATTCATCAATCAATGAAGGACCTTAGTGTCATCATCTATTATCATATATGTCTATGTTTTAGGAAGATGTTAATGTGATTTTGGTTGATTGGTCCAATGGTAATGGATTTCCATATACAAAAGCGACAGCAAACACTCAAGTAGTTGGTGCTGAAATTGCTTTACTTATCAACTATATGATCGAGGACCACGGCGCTAAAGCTGCAGATTTTCATGTTATTGGTCATTCACTTGGTAGTCACGTTTCAGGATATGTTGGAAAACGAGTTGCTGGACTTGGCAGAATATCGGGTAATTGTAAAAATATAAGCATTTACCAACATAACAAGTGGTTTGATTGTTATAGGGTTGGATCCTGCTGGTCCTTATTTTGAAAATACTGATCCAGTAGTTCGTCTAGATCCTACTGATGCTTTATTTGTTGATGTTATTCATACTGATGGTGCTCATAATCTTCTTCTTGGACTTGGTATTTAGAACATCATTTCATAATTTCTTCATTAAGCATTCTATATAAAATATTATATCTTTTCAGGTACTCTTCAACGAATGGGTCATGCTGACTTTTATCCTAATGGTGGTTATGATCAACCTAGTTGTTCAAAGACATCAGGCAAAATATTAAATCTTATTCTTCAACTCGGAACAATGAATGTTGATGGTAAATCATCAAGATTAATATTAATATACAAATATATATATATATATTCTTCTTTAGGCTTTTTGGTAACATCATTATGTAGCCATTTGTCTGCTGTATATTTTTTTACTGATTCAGTTCGTAACCAATGTCCATATGTAGGCTATTCATGTAGTAACTTTGATGATTTTATTGCGGGTAAATGTTCATTGNTTTCTTGATTTTAAACCTCCCGGGTTAATTGAAGAACAGTGTGTCAAAAACGTAACAGCGTTACGTTTGGACAAGCCGTTTTCCAAGCGGTAAAGCTTTAAAACTAAAACAAATAAAAATGAATTTCACATGAAATGAAAGTCCGTCGAAAACACTATTTCAGAGTATAATTAAACATATCCATGGATACTCATCAATAAAATCCAATGCTCATCAGAAAATCTTTTCGTTGACTAGACTTTATGACGCTGTCTGTTCTCATCATTTTAGTCAAAAACGAATTTTAATTTGACAAATAAATAATGGTAGATCGTAGCATAATGATTTATTTCTCAAATTAAAACGTTTTTTTTTCTCTCTAAAATGAGTAGCGCAGAGAGAGCCACAGTGTAGCGTTCATTGGATAGAAGGTTCGGGTCTGACAATTTTGGACCCAACGGAATCTACTATAGAATCTGATAGGCGAATCAATTTTTGAAAAACGTTTGTTTTTAATATCTAACTACTCAGTGTACACTATAGGGTGATTTCCTATCATTGTGTATGTGTTAAATTAAAAACGAACACTTGACTTGATTATTGTTATAGTTAGATGATGTTAAGAACTTGAACAATTGTATAAAATTTACCTTCTTCTCGTTTCATTTGTAATAATTCATGTTCATTAATATATTTAAATTGTCGAGCTAATCAAAATAAATTAATTGTAAAAAACAAAATAAGAAAATTTTCTAACATACGTTTTGGTTTTGGTCCAGACTCTTTAAAACCACTTTCAAAAAATTTTTTTTTATCATTAAAAGATTTTTCTGATTCATTTACAGATATATCAAGCTAAATAAAAGAAAAAATAATAATAAAAAGAAAAAAAAAAAAACTTTCATCTTATAAAATTTACATCATCAACTTCAAAACCATTTTGTGGTTGTATTCGTGGAGAAGATGAAGGATATTTCATTGTTGTTGTTGTTGTTGTTATTTGATTATCACCATTAAATGGTACAAATTGTGCATTCAATGGATGAAATTTTGGTTTAACAGGAACAGGTGGTGGTGGTGGTGGTGGTTGAGACTGAATAGAAATCTTTTTAAAAAAAAAATTCTTTTTGTATATCCTAAACATACATTTGGACTAATCACTTTCGGTGATATTGATACATTTTTCGAAGATGATGAATTTAATACTCCATTCGGTTTTGTTGATAATATCGGTGAAATCTGTTGTTGTGTTAATATAGACCGAGTAGGAACTGCAGGTGATATAGCATCATTTGGTTTCGTTTGATTATTTTTATTATAAATTGGACTATTCACAGAAGTCAACTAAAAAGCAAAAAAAAACAATATATCATTGATGTAAAATGAAATTATATTTCAAAAGGAAAAAATAATCAAATTTACTTCTTTTGATTTAAATCCATGACAAATAAGTAAATTAATATTTTCATTTGGCATGCTAAGCCATTTTTGAGCATCATCCAAATGAGCACCAAATAAACTTTGATTATTGACCTAGATTTAAATAAAGAAAAAATAAAAATAAAGAAAAACAAATGTTTTATTCGTCGCTAGATGTTTCGCCTCATTCATTACAATATATTTCGTTAATCTATATCTACATATATATATAAAGAAATAAAAATAATAAAGTTTTTTTAAAATAAATGTCCATAGCACATAAGTAAAAGTAAATAAAAACTAAATAATTTCATCACAATATCATACATAATCGCTCGAACTAAAATCTGACCAAATCTAGGAGGTTGTTCTGGTAAATCAGCAGGAGCAACTATTGCTTGTTGTTCTTGTCTAACAAGTGGTGTTTCGTCAGCTACTTCTCGTAATGATGTTGCAAGAGAATCAAGTATTTCATTACGTTCATTATCATTTTCAATATCAGAATGAATAGCATAAATAATTTCATTGATTTCACATAAATTTAATTGTTTTGTTTCTTGTACTGTAACATGTTGTTCAGATGATATTGATGATAAATCAAATAATTCATAGGATGAATTATTTGATGATAAATACATTTCAATAGCATGTAAAAGATTTATTGATTGAAGTGATAAATTTTCAAAGTTATTATTATTACTATTATTATTATTTGAATCAATTTTTAATGATAAAACATTTTCATTTGAACAATAAATACATTCTTCATTATGAATTTCTTCTTCAAGCGAATGTTGACGTACATTCATACTTGGTTTTATATGATAATTTGATACAGATGTATAAGAATGTACAAGAAAAGATTTTGGTGTTGAAATTATTGATAAGGGTGGATCAAATATTAAAGATTTACATGATGATTGTGGTGTTTCATTCACTATTGTTGAAGATAATGGTGAATCATGTAATGGTGCAACTGGTTTATCATCATTTGGTAATGATAATGATGATGATAAAGAAAATGAACTTGATATCAAATCTTTTAATGTAACAATTGGAGCAAAAATTTGTTTAGTAAATGTAACATCTTTTTTATTTCGATTCAAATTTTTCTTCGCTGAACTACATAATGTTAATAGACAACATGATTTTGTTCGTCTTTTTTTACGTTTTTTTAAACAATGTTTTTTTCTTTTTATATATCCACTTGATTTTGAATGTTTGATATGTTTTGATAAATCTTCAAATGTTATTATTCCATTTAAATGTACAATATCGTCTAAACTTGTTTCACAATAATCTTTTATTGAAACATCATCAACAGGTGTCGATAGTGATGATGATGATGTATTACTTAAAAATGATGATTTATCTGATAAACAAAACCATCGCTTCGAACAAGAACAATTCACTGCCTAGAATAATTGATATTCTTGACGAATATATATATATATACAGAGAGAGAGATTTATATAAATATATTTGGTGGTATAAAAGCGTATGGGCGAAGATACATGAAGCATTAGCAGCTTGAAAGACGAAACATTTCATGTGGAAATTAAATAAATAAATAAGTTAATCAATAACCATATGAACCATCTTTTTTTTTTATCTTGTGGTTAATACTTACAAATATATATGTATATATAATGAAAGGATAAATCAAATGAAAATTATAAATCAAATAAATAAACTTTTAACAACATAACGACATATACATAAACGTAAAGAATGAGGCAAAACATTGCGACCATGGCGGCAGTGGTTTAGAATGAGGTGAGAAAAAATAGATTTTTTCTTTTTTTTTTTTGGTTTTTGTGTCTTACCTCTAGTATTCGTGTACCAACTGTTAGAATACCCGATGCTGGACTACCATCTTTTACCTTTAAAATTAAAAACAAAAAAAAATAAAAAAAAAATAAGAATTTAATTTGAAAAATTTAAACAAAATAACAGACTTCTGTAACAAATATTCCATCATCTTCTGGATCATCTGGATTTATATGTTTACCATCAACACCACCATTTATTCGAATACCAAGTGGCTCATTTGATTGTCTTGTTAATGTTACTTCCTAAATAAAAACTCAAATTGAAAAAAAAAACGACAAAAATCTTCTATTTATATATACTTTTAATCCTGATGGTTGTGGTTCATGACATACAAGTAAAATAACTTCATTTGTAGGTTGTAAAAGTGCTTGTACAGCTTCTAAATGTGTTGCTTGTGATACATCACGATTATTTACTTTTAATATTCGATCACCAATTCGAAGGTTTGTTCGAGAAGCTGAACCATTGGGAAGAATCTTTTTTTTTTTTTTATAAAAGAAAAACAACATTTTTTATATATTTAAGAGTTTTCTTGACACCTTCGAGTATCATAACAGAAACGAGGCACTCGATAAAAACAATTTTTTCCTTCCAATAGCATCTCTTTGAAACTTTAGTCAATAAATACTATTCACTACTATAATATCTTTATGGAAAAAAATATTCTGTAAAAATTGTGCTCATTTTTGTTTTAACGGATCACCAAAGTTTACTGAGCAACATGATCTATTTCAATATATAATACAATGTCGACTGACTGATGTTTTATACGATGAACATGAATGAAAAATGGCTGTTTTTGTGAGTCGGACTTGCTTACTTTGTAAATATATATGCAGGGTATAACAAAATTATAGCCCCCCTTTTGTCGTTGAAATTTTTCAATGAAGACGAATAGTTAGATCAAATCTAAATAGTGATTTCGATAGCCCTTGAAGTTCTCTATCGAAAACAGTATAGATCAAAATCCTCGAAAAAACTTTCCTTAGAAAGTTTTACAAAAAAGCGAAGTGCTCCAAAATCAAGTGCCAGAGGCACTTCAGAAAAACATTTCAAAATATAGTCATGCGAAAGAGCAAAAAATTCTGAGCAAAATAAGGGGTCGCCCAGTTCTCCACGATGTTTTCTTATAAAGTTATAAGCAGCAGAAAAGTGAAAAAAAACTTTAAAATTCATCAAAAAACCGCTAAAAATAGCCTAAAAACACTTTTTTTTCCACTTTTCTGATGCTTATAACTTTATAAGAAAACATCGTGGAGAACTGGGCGACCCCTCATTTTGCTCAGAATTTTTTGCTCCTTCGGGTGATTACATTTTGAAATGTTTTTCTGAAGTGCCTCTGGCACTTGATTTTGGAGCACTTCGCTTTTTTGTAAAACTTTCTAAGGAAAGTTTTTTTGGGGATTTTGATCTATACTGTTTTCGATAGAGAACTTCAAGAGCTATCGAAATCACTATTTAGATTTGATCTAACTATTCGTCTTCATTGAAAAATTTCAACGACAAAAGGGGGGCTATAATTTTGTTATACCCTGTACCTTGTCAGGAATTAAAATTAGAGAATTCTATGTTGAATTTTATATAGGTCAATATTGACTAAATTTTTGAAAGAAAGACTATTAGAAGCTAAAATTTTGAAATTAGTAGTTTTAGACACCAATGAATTAAATGCACAAAAAAAAAAATAAGCAAAAACTATTTTTTTATCAAGTGTCTTGTATATTAGATGGCCTCATGACTCCTCTCTTAAATATTTTATTAAAACTTACTTTTGATACAAAAACACCACGTTGTTCAATACCAAATGGTGGACATGCTTGATCAGTACCACCCACAATACTTAAACCCATTGGTCCATTTCCTTTCTCTACATGTACTTCCTATTGAAACAAAAAGCAAAATATTTTTATTGAAAAAACCACAAAAAATAAATTACTTCAACTGTATTATCAATGATTGTTGATGATGAATTCGAATTTCCATTAGTAATTTGTTCTCGATAAATTGTTAATTCAACATTATTTTTTCCATTATTCATAGCATCAATAGCTTGTTCATGACTTATATTAGTTGCAACATGATCATTTATTGATAAACGATGATCACCAATAGATAAAGAATTTCTTGTATCTTGATTGTTGATTTTTGATATATAAATATTTTCATTTCCATTTGTCGTTGTTATTTGATTGTCATCAGCAGTAGAAGAACCAAATTGTTCATCTTGTTTATCATTACGTTGAATTATTGTTGCATATTTTTCACTTTCTTTTGTTGAAGAACTTTCATTATTTATTAAATTATCATCAGATGGTTGTAAAATTTCACGTATTACAATCATTTCAATATTATCACCGGCATTTTTTAAAGCAGATACAGCTTTACCATGTTCAGAATTTATTAATGATATTCCATTTACAGATATTAGTTTATCACCAACAAGTAAACCAGCTTGACCTGCTGGACCTTCTTCAGTGACTTTAGTTAAAAATATACCCTAAAAACAAAAATTATGTACTCAAATTTTTTTATAGTTATAATTAAAGAAAACATTTTTCCAATACCACTCTCAATATATAAAGAAGTTTTTCATTATAGACTTCATGTCTATTAATAATTAACTGTCCTAATATAAACGAATATTAGGTAGAGTCTATTGAGAACATAGTAAAGGCAAGTATTAGGGATTAGACTACTATAGAACCATGAGAAATCAAATCTATTGCATATTGCTTTAATGACTACTACTACAACCTTATCACATGAACAATTTATTTATGCACCACAACATCAATGTTTACCGAAGGAGGTGAAGGGATCATGTACATACACACACAACCAAAAGGACAAAACGGATTCAAAGGACTAACGGATGAAAATATGAAAGTCATAGTAACTTGAAAAGCATAAAAATAATATAAGATAAAATTAATTTCTTGTAGATTTCTCTTCAGTACAGAACAGTAATTAGTGATATGAAGTTTTTAGGCTATGAGCTTAAATTGATATTTATCGTATGGTTTCATTATTATGATAATATCCAACAAATATATATGCAAAAAAATTAATCTAAGCATTATTATTCTCTGATTAGTTCTCTTCCGAAAGGCAATTATACGTACTATTTAGGTTTAGTTATAACATCCTGACCAGAAATAATTATGAAAATATACGCACGACTCACTTTGTTAATCATGGATACTATATTTGAATTGATCTACACTATGGATTTCAATTGCTAAATGTAAATTGACTGTACGACTGATTTTTTTGTTAAACGCCATCCGAAAGGAGTGTTGAAGTATAGGAAGCTTCTCATAAACGTAACAGCCAACTTAGCAATGATTCATCACAGACTTAATCACGAATCGAAAGTCTTTTGTAGGATTATTATGAAAGAAAATTATATCTAAAATAGTTATCTTTGTCTACCTTTTCAAACTCACTTTAACATATTACGAGTAACATCTTTCATCACCGACATATTATTACTTAGAAAGTCTCAAACTAAAGCATATGTTACAGAATTGTTTGATTTACAATATATGCAAATCAACCGTTTCTCTCATTTTAATTCCTCAAGGATGTCAAAAGAAGCTTTTTTGCGAGAAATCTTAACAAAAGTCATTTTACAAGATGATGTATCTCAACTTCATATATCTTTGCGAACTTCTATTTAGATATATCTCATTTTAAAAAATTACTAATAATCACACAGTGTAATTAAAAGCAATTACAAAAAAGCTGAACAGATTGACACGAACAAGATCAACTAATCAGATATAATAAAAAAAAATTCATATTAATATAGATAGTTTTATTCAGTGGCGAGATAAAACGGATGATGTCTCTCTGAAAACTAGGTTTATTTTTCCAAAGCTTTAGATTACTATATCATATACTATGTATCTGTACTGCAAAAAAAAACAGATGTTCGCCCTCCGGAAAAAAAGATTTAGATAAAACACCGACTAAATATCTGTTTTCTTTTCGCATTACTCGTCTAATTAGAATATAAAATAATAAACAAATACCAATGACACCTTCGAGGAAAAACATTCATAAATATGAAATAATATCTTCTTACATAGTCATTATCTTTGTAAGCTGCAGAGCCAGTTCCACCAGCAATACTAATACCAAGACCAGTATTAGGTGACCGATGAACATTTAATACTATTTGTTCATGATGAACTGTCATTGATCGAGTATTATTTTGTACAGATGATGATATCGACTGAAAGAAAAAACGAATTTACTCAAAAAACAAATTTATATTTAAATTTTAGAATAAATCTTTCTGTAAATAAGATACTACAGGGTTATTATTTTTAGACTTTATTTTAGGATTAATAAGGGGTAAAATTAACAAGTAAAAACTTCAAAATATCTTTTTCTTTTGTTGCATGTTTTCATAGGATAGAAAAACCCGGAAAAGTAAATTACAACTTATCCTTTTCCTTTTTATCTTAGGCTAAAATATAAAAGAAAAGATGTTTTTTTTTTTTTATTCTCAAAATTTGTTATGGTGTAATTCTTACTTCTTTTCCTCCACTTGTTATTGATGATTTAGTTGGACTATGTGACATAATTTGCTGAAAAAAACAAAAGAGATTCTTTTTCTTATTTTAATATTTAAAAATCTAAATCAATAATTTACATCAATTGCAAATGGATCATCATTTTTATTAATAATACGTTTATTTTTTAAATGATGTGGTGTATCACGTCGATGAAGTTTTTGTTGATTAGATGTTTCTTTTATATTATTATCATTATTCAAATCATCTGTAAATTCAACATGTTTTTCAAAATAGTTCATTTCATTATCATCATATTCATTCTAATAAAATCAAAAATTTGAATTTTCATAAAAATAAAATGAAAAAAAAAAATAATACATACATTAGAATGACGACGATCATCTAAAGATAAATCAGGTGGAATATAATTAATTGATTCTTGTGCAATATTTGGTGAATCTTTAAAATAGAAAAAAAAAAAAAAAAAGAAAGGTTATTCTTTTCTTTGCTTAATAATGTTTTGTTTACCTGTAGTAGTTTGATTCAGTTGTGATCCTGATGTATTTGATGAAATAGATGAACGTTTGAAATCACTATGTCCATGAGCATTTGGCTGAAATGGATGCTGATGATCATGATGAAGTAAATTTCCATCAGTTTGATACTTTTTTGCCATTTTATTTTTCCATGTTCGTAAATCTTTTGGATGTGGAGTATTATGTCGCTGTAATGAACTCTATTATATATGTATAAATAGCGAGCTTTGCTTATTAACAAAAGAAAGAAAATTTTTCAAATACTTCTTTGCTTGCTTCAGCTTGATCAGCAAATTTAACAGAACCAGTACGTTCATGTCGATCGTCGTTTAGTAATTCATCTTGTTCGAAATTTGGTGAATGAACGGATGGTCGTTGTGCATTTGTCATTTGATAATTTACATTTTGAGGTTTTGATGTATTAAGAAGATTTTCTAAATTACAATAAAAATAAAAATAAATGTTAAATAGAATTTCAAAAGAAAAAAAAATTTTAGTAACCAAAATTTCTCTAAAAGATAATTATCTTTTACCCTCATTTGTTTCATTATCATCAATAAAATAAATATATAAAGGCCGTCGACGAAGACGTAAAAACATGATCGTTTTATAACTTATGATTCAAATAATTAAATAACAAAAAGGATTAATATGAAAATAAAGCTTTCAGATATTTAACTCAGTACAAAAAAAAAAAAAAAAGGAAACGAAAAGCAAATTAAATATCAAACATACCCATTGATGATGATACATATTGTTGTTGTGGAAGTAAATAACAGGTGAGAACGCTTTCACCGGTATTTACATCAATATCTGTTGCAAATTTTAACATTGGTTGTGCTTGATTTTCTGCTAACCATATTGCTTTTAAATCACATTGAAGTAATGTACATGGTAAATTTAATAAACGATTTCCTGATAAATCAAGTACATGTAAATGTTTTAATTTTGATAATTCTGATGGAATTTGTGCTAAACGATTATCACGTAAACTAAGCATACCTAATGATTCACATTCAGCAATCTAGAATAAATAAAAATATTTACTAGTTTCTTTTTTTTTTTTAATTTAAATATTTTACTTCAATAGGTAAATATGTTATTTGATTTCGATCAATATTTAAATTTGATAATTTTTTTAAATTTCCAATTGATTTTGGTAATTCATTTAATGTATTTTCAGTTAATATTAATTCCGTTAATGCCAAACATTGTCCAATTTCATCACATAACTTACTTAAATTATTTGAATTAATTTTTAATATTAATAAACGTTGTTGAAGTTTACCAATTGTTATTGGTAATTGTTCAATTTGATTTGATGATAATTCAAAATTTGTCAATGATTCTAAATTACCAATTTCATTTGGTAAATAAGTTAATTTATTTTCTGATACATCTAAACATTGTAAACGTTTTAATTGTCCAACATCATTTGGTAATTGTATTAATTCATTTGAATCTAACCATAATTCTCTTAATGATTGTAAATTACCAATATTATGTGGAAGTTGTTCAATAACATTTGAACCTAAATCAAGTGATTCAAGTTTTGCTAATTGTACAAGTGATTCAGGTAAAATTTTGAGCAAATTTTCTCGAACTTCAAGAACACGTATATTCGACAGACTAAAAAGAAAAAAAGAAAATGAATTTGTTTACTTTTTTGTTGAACAAAAATAAAAAGTAAGACAAAAGTTTCTAGACAAAAAATATTTGACCTTTTTTTTTTGCATCATTAAAATGCATTGGTAATGTATTTGAAACAGAATTTTGTGTTCTTGTAGAATATATGCTTGGAATTTTTCTATGACTTTCGGACTATGAGTAAATCTTCAAAACACTCAACATTTTTTTTTTTTTGAGAAAAAAATCTAAAATGGAACTTTTTGGAAACATGCCAAAAAATTTTATCGAACATATTGGAAGATACAGAAAATAATTCTTTACAAAGCGATACATTTTTTTTGAAAACTGTTAAGATTCAGTAAAAGTTTATCGCAACAAAAATGGTTATTTGTTCAACTTCCGTCTTTTCAGTGCGAAATTATTCTCTGTCGTAATAAGCAGAGTTCTTGATTAGGAAGGTTTTCTTCTGCAAATATTTTACAGCTTCGTGGTAATTTTCAACAGTAACTAATTTTGAAAAACCATTTCCTTTGTTCAGTAGAAAGTAAAATAAGTCGAATATAATTGGGGCAAGTTCTGGGGGAGGAGCAGCGTAATGATAGGTCGTCCGTTGAGGAAGAAACTGGGTCACGAAGTTTTTTGTTCTTCCATCCTCTCAGAATGAAATCACTGTTCGCGAGAATTTTTAGACTTTAACCTTGGACATAGCTCTGCTATTTTTCAATGGATTAACCAAAACTTTCTCCATTCTTGCTTTATTTTGTAGTGTAGAAATCACCCTCAAATACTATTTATTTACAGAACTAATTTAATATAGACTTCTTTTCAGAAAAATAAGATTTCAGCCTCTTGAGAAAATCTTTTTGAGTCCTATCAAGATTTATTTATAGCTGGAAAGACATAGAAAAATTCTAAGTATATATTCTGCAAGAGAACAAAATTCTGATTCTAATACATAAACTTTCGACTCATCTTTTATAATTTTCCTTTTATCTTTACCTGCCGATTTCTTTTGGTAATTCGGCAAGTGAAACATCATTTAATGTTAATTGATTTAATTGATGAAGATGAATAATACCAGATGGCAGACTAAAAAGTTTAAAACATTAATAAAAAACAAAATTTAACTTTAATTTTGATTTACTTATTTGCCAATGGATTACCACTAAAATCAAATCTTTGTAATGATCGACAATGACGAATATTTTCTGGAATTTCGGCTATGTCTAAGAAAAATAAATCAAAAAAAAAAGTAAGAAAAACAATCTTTTGATTTCTACCATTTCTAGAACAATCAAGTTCTTCAAGATTAATTAATTGTCCAATTTCAGGTAATAAACGTTGAATTTCATTATCACTAATTGTTAAACGTCGTAATTGTGTCAAACGATAAACACCCTGAAAATAAAATTTATTTCATAGATTTATTTTTTTCTTTTCAAAAAAAAAAAAATGATAACCTTTGGTAAATCTTGAAGTTGATTGGCATCAAGTAATAATTCTTCTAATGTACGTGCATAACGAAGAACATCATCTGGTACTGATGTTAAATTACAATGACGTTTATCAATTTGTTCTAAATTTCGATTACAAAATGGTAATGGAAAACACTTGAACATGTCTTATGGATTTATATTAATTGAAGAGAAAAGAAAAATCACTGAATGTTCTTGATTTATCTGACTAGCCCTAAGCATTGTCAGCGCTATCTTGTCATCGACAGCATCTTATCTAGAATAATAAATAGATTTATAGTTATATTCTCACCTTCATCATACGGAACATGATGATGAAAACAAGTTTTTATCATGTTTTTTTTCTTGTTGTCATTTCCTTCTTTTTTTTTTTCAATCAAAAACAGAAGATGAAATTTTTTTTTACATGCTCTCAATATATATATTATATATATATATGAAGTTCTTCTCCGTACGCACACGCTCGGGACAACGTTCATCGCGTGTCTAAATGTTCTGTTAAATGAGCCGACCGATGTGATGGTAAAAAAATAGGGAGAGAATGAGTGAGAGTATAGCACAAGAAAATTAAAGAACGATCCCTCTAAAGCAAAGAGAAAGGAAAAGAGAAGACGATATGACTATATAAAAAAGAACAAGGGAACAGAACGAATGAACATATAAGCAGAAGATGAGATGATGAGCCAAAACGACTCAACAAACAAGCAAGAGATGATAGAAAAGGGAGAAAAGAAGGAAAGTCAGTTACGATTGTGATCATCACACTAACATTGGTCCGTACTAACATGATGACGAACGAATTTATTAAGATCAAAGATCATTATGTTTGAATTAGAAAAACAACAACAACAACAACAACAACGATGATCAAATTTAATTTTCTGCATTTTGCCTTAAAGCCAAACAAAACTAAAGATGTATAAAGATCTTTTAGAATAATTTATTCTAATTTTTTCTTTTTGTTCTTTCTCATCTGCAACGGTACTATAGTAAATTGTTACTATTACGACAAGTAAATGTGAATTTTGACACGTTTGCTTGCTTATCTCTTTGTTCTTGTTCCGAATGGCTTTTTTCCTTTGTGACTATTCACACACTATGTCAACGTCTTTATCTGTATGTAAAATACAAAAATCGGATAGCGGTTGCGTTTGTGCGACAGCTTGAACGGAGAATGACGCACGAACGCGAACGCTTTTCTAACATTATTATTATATCAATAAAGCGAGACACGAGAATTTTCTTCTAGTGGAATTTAGGAAGATATAGAAAATGAAGTTGCATTTGCTAGTTGAAGTTATTATTAGACCGATGAATGATTGTCTCTTCTTTCGTTTCTTCTTCCTATATATTTATTTATATGCTAGCGTATGTCGTACGGATAGTGATGACGCTACTAAGTGAAAAAAGTGTGTGGGTGAACAGTAGAATCATCAAAAAACTATATAGATAAAATGTCAGATCAAAATAAACGAATTATTGTCATATCAATAACTAAATTTAGTGTTTTTCCTAGTAAAAATTTTAGCTAATAAAGTATGATAAGACATTTTTTGATTTTCCATTAATCTAGTTAAACTAATATTAACTAAAATATGTTTTTATTTAATAAAAACTTTTTCTTCTTTCTCTTACCGTTGATCATCGATTGGTTGACTAAAATAGACTACAGAGAGAGAAGAAGAAGAGGAGGAAAAACGGACAAGTACTCCTTATAACAAGTCAAACGAAGGAAACAACAATATAGAAAAAAAGAAGAAAAGAAGAAGACCTTCTTTTATTCTTGACTTTTTTTTTATTGTTTCTGTGTTTGTTTTGTTTTTGAGACTATGATTCTTCTTTTTTTTTCTATTCCATTTCTTCTTCTTTGTCTCATCAATAAACGATATCCAATCGTATTTTCAATTCTTTGTAGAAAGATAATAACCAATACAAACATCAAATATTCTATACAGATGTCACTACTATCTATGGTTGTTCTTTTTTGTTGTTAGTATAGAATCTATTTATATTCTTCATGAACAAAAAAAAAACAAGAAAGAAAGAAAAGAAAATCAACTAAACATAAATAAATGAAATGAAAAGTTCGCAGTATGTTTTTTTTGTTCAATCAAAAAATTATTCAACGATTCAGAAATAATGTTGTTGGACACCTGAGAATTCCGGTTCCGTTTAATAAAAAAAATATCATGACGTTCTTTTTGTTTTAAAAACTTTTTTTCCTATTTTAACGAAAATCGGAAATGGAATGTAGATCAAGTTCCGTACATTCAAAACCTTTTGTATAGGTATTCAATTTATTTTCTATAGAAATCAAATCTTACTTTAATTGCAAGTGATTTATTTAAGGACAATAATTACTAGTAAAACAAATACTATTGATCTGTTTCTTATTTTATTCGTGATGAAAATAGAGTTTGATAATGGAATTATAGGTTAAACAGTGTAACATTTACTATAGAAAAATGTAAGATTTTTCAAATAGTCATAGTAAAAAGAATCTGCGAGAGTTCAGTCATTTTAAGAAATAAATTCCTTCATTGTTGTATATTTTTTGCACGAGGAAATCATTGTGTAGTATATTATATTTCAAGTAGCAAAAAATAAATAAAAACTGGAATTCTTGAAATAAAAACCTGTTGGATATTTTTCAGTGTTTTATTTTGACATGATTATACTCTTAATAATAAAAATCTCACATAATATCTTCCAAATAAAAGTAAGATTTTAATGGAAAATAAGTTTCAATATCCTGAGAATAAATTAACTTTTTTCTTTTCTATTCATTCATTTTTTTACGGAAATATCATTAAAAACTACTGTAGATTAATAAATGAAAATTTTGACCTTGGTTATGACATGATGAAACAGAAACCAAAAAGCCTCTTACAGAAAACAAAATACTGCTTATATAATGTCAAAAGAAAAACAAGTGTTTGACCTCGAAATAACATTTTCTCTCACATGCTTTTATATTATTAATGTGTTCTCTGTTATCTATATCTAAATAGAGAGACATAAAGTTATTCAAATAGTATAGGCATATTCACTATATCATTTATTGGTTGCATTATTCACCTTTTCTTGCTTAATCAAATTGTCAGAATATTCTAATTAATGGAGATGTGTGAAATGAACTAAAGAATATATGTGAACATTGGTTTTTTCTTCTTCTATACAATAAGTTATTCTAAAGTTTATGAAAAAATTGATGTTTTTTTTCCTAATTTTTATTCTTTATCAAAATTCTAATATTGATGATAATACTCAAAGAACTTTTGATAAAAATACGTCTAAGAAATACATTTTCTTCATTAATAATTTAATATAGGTAAATAGCTATTTTTGAAAGCATAAAACAGCATCTTTTTTTTGTTTTTCTTTTTCAGTTATATTATAAAACAATCATTGTAAGTGTAAGCATATGTTATATTCAAGGTCATGGTGTTAGAAATGTAAAATAAAATTCTATATTAAAAATTTTTTCTTTTTTTAGTTTCATCAACTTTATCTAATTAATTATCAATATATAAGTAAAATGAAAGAAATAATTTGAAAGATTAAAACATTTATTTACTGTTTCTTATTGTAAATAAAGAAACATTTACAAGTACATGAGAAGAAAAAAAAAACAGATAGAACTGAGATTCTACTGAATTAAAAAAGAAAAAGAAAAAACGAGAAAACATTGCACGATAAAAATGTATAATCTATTGATTATATAATAATTGTTGAAATTTAAGTGTTTTTAATAATTCTAACATTGAATCAAGTTCAATATGAAATCGTTCAATTTCTTGATTTTTTTGTTTAATAATCGCACGTAATTTATTAACATCATTATTTGTATCTAAATCATGTTGTTTAATTAAACTATTTGTATAATCTTTTGTTATTTTATCACGATTATGCCAACGTTGTTCTAATTGATTTATTTTATTTTGAAGTTCTTGAAAATGTTTCATTTCCTAAATAATCAAAAGCAAAAAGAATGAAATATATATGTATATATAAATCAAATAAAAACATAATACAGGTGTATGATAAGTTCGAGCATCAGCTAGTTCTTGTTCAAGCCGATGAATAGTCGATTTTAATTCATCATCACGAACACGTAATATTGCTAATTCTCGAGCACTTTCATCAGCATTTTCCACTAATTTCTATATAAAAATCAATAAAAGAAGAATTTTTCTTTTTGTTTTTGAAAATAACAAAAAAAAAACATAATACTTTAAGATGAATAATAGTTGAATCTTGTAATTCAATTTTTCGTAGAAGATCACTAATACGAGTTTCAGTTGTATTGCTAGATATTTCATTAATAATTGTTTGTAATTCTAATTTATGTTGTTGACGTAGACGTAAAATCTTAAGAATAAAAATATATACTATAGAGATTAAGATTACACGTTATTCTTTTTTTTTTTTTTTACTTCTTCGTCTTTTTCACGAATTGCTAATACAATAGCTGCTTGTCGATCATCTCTTAAGTGCATTAATTCAGTATATTGTTGCTGAGAATCATGTTCTAATTTTTCTACCTGAAACAAAAAAAAATCATTAAATCCTAAGAAATAAAAGTTTTAAACACTTTAATGTCGTTTATTAAAATTTGATTATTTAATGCAAAGTCATGTATATATTGACCCGTAGACATATAGCTATTATTTATTCTGATCGAACGTAACATGTTTTTTTAAGATAAATTATAAATGAGAAAGTCTATAATGATACTATCGATTGTAGAATTTTAAAGAAGAATTTGATCGCTGTTCTTTTATTTCCATTGTATAGTATTTTTCATGAATTTAACATGAAAAAAAAAGAGAAGTAACGAAAGAAAAATAATATAACTAATTGAATATTAAAATAGAACTCGAGGTTATTTTAGTAAATATATGCATATTTTAATTCTCATGTTACCCAATTCTTGTGAGAATCGATAAACAACATAGATCATCATGTATTAAAACAAGTAGTATTCAATAGTGTTAGTTACACTAATTTCATGTTTGATTTTATAATTAAAATATTAGAACAATAGATTTTCTTTATTTACAAAAGTAAATTTTTAATTTCAAAACGGACTGAAAATAATCTATGTCTTTAATACAAAGGTTAAATTATTTAGATATCTAAAA